GGATGGTGATGGATGGGGAGAAGCGGGGAGAGGTGGCAGAGAAGAGAAGAAGGAGAAGAAGAAGAGAGAAGAAGAGAGGAGGAGGAGGGAAGAAGAAGAGGGAGGGGTTGGAGAAATAGGAAAAAAAAAAGTAGAAGGACTAGGTGGAAGAGGAGGAGGAGGAGCGAGGAGAGAAGAAGGAGGAACAGGAGAAAAAGAAGGGAAAGAGGAAGGAGAAATCAAAACAAAAGAAACTATAGCAGGAAAAGGAGATGACAAAACAAATAAAAGTGAAGAGGAAACAGAAAGAAGAGGACAAAAGAAGACGAAAGAGACAACGGAAGGAGAGAAGAGCAAGAAAACAGAACGAGCATTGAAGAAAGGAAAAAGAAAGTCCAGGAGTATTGCAGAAAGCTACAAAGTGGAGGAAAATCTACGCAACACAATACAGCAATAACATTTTCTTCCTCTGGAACTACAAAGTCTCCACCTGCTATAATTGAAAAGGTAAGGAAGTAATTGGAAAGTAATTAGTGGATATGATTACCATGATAGGACCACAGTGGCAGTGAGATTTAGTTTAATATAGTATCAAAAGTAATTAATAGATGATGATTACCTAGACCACACTGGCGGTAAGATTTAGTAATAATAGTATCAAAGTATCAGTGGATATGATTACCTAGTACCACAGTGGCGGTGAAATTCCTTTAATAAAGTAAGTATCAAAAGTAATTAGTGGATATGATTAACTAGGACCACAGTGGTGATGAAATTTACTTTAATAACAGTGAGTATCAAAATATTTAATTAGTGGATATGATTACCCTGGTAGGACCACAGTGGCGGTGAAATTTAGTTTATTAATAGTATCAAAATTAATTAGTGGATATGATTACCTAGGACCACAGTGGCGATGAAATTTACTTTAATAATAGTGAGTATCAAAAGTAATTAGTGGATATGATTACCTAGTACCACAGTGGCGGTGAAATATACTTAATAATAATAATAATCAATATTCCTGATTCGTTAACGGTAATGAGAACGGTGATGTTAGAGAATTAATGTTATGATAATGGCATGCTAATACTACTACTTCTACAACTAAGAATAATTAAAATAATCGTAACCCTATTAACAGTGATAATAGGCTAATGATTGTAGCAATAACCATAATTATCACAATGAATGATATTGATTGATAATGATGATCATCATATGAATAATTAATAGCAGTAAAGGATGGTAATGTTAAAACAATAATGACAAAAAACAAAACATACCGCCTTTTCACTCCCTCTCCCCTTCTCTCTCCGCTTTCTCTCTCGCTTTACATCCTTCTTCTCTCTCTCTCTCTCGCTTTACCCTTCCTTCTCTCTCTCGCTTTACCTCCTTCTCTCTCTCTCTCTCTCTCTCTCTCTCTGTCTGCATGTCTGTCTTTCTCTCTCTCTCTCTCCCTCCTCTCTCCCTTCCTCCCTCCCTCCCCCTCTCTCTCCAGGTCGGCTCCATGTCGTGGCGTCGGAGAATCTGCGACCTGAACCACATCAAGACCAACACGCACGACCCCAGAAGAAGACGCTTACTCAAGAAGCCCCAGGAAGTCGTCTTAAAGAACATAGCCGCTACGTCGAGCATTGTGACCGTGAGGTAAAGAAAACAGGGAGAAAATGTGTTTGTGTTGGGTTTGTTTGTGATTAAAAAAATCGTGTGTCGTGTTGTGTGTGATAAAAAATCGTGTTTTGTGTTTGTATGTGATTTAAAAATCGTGTGTGTTTGCATGATTAAAAAAATCGTGTTTGTGTTATTTGTACGTGGTTAAAAAAAATCATGTTTGTGTGGATTGATTGTATGTGATGAAAATCGTGTTTTTTGTGTTTATGTTTTTTTTTTTTTAAATTGTGTTGTTTGTGTGTGTGATGAAAATATATATTATCTTATGTTATTCAAGATGTAATTTGGAAGTCGTCATAATGTGTACAATAATTTTGTCTTTAGTTGCTATCAAGTATGTGAACAAGCTCTGTTAGAGAGGCTTATGGCGTGTAAAACACATACATAAATGTATACATATATATACACCTATATCTATTCACACACACCTTCATATCAATTCACACACAAACACGTGTCTATACCTATCTATCTATAAACACAAACACACATACTTTGCTTCCAAGAACTCCCAAGACATGCAAAAACTCCAAGAACAGCAGTACGGGCAGAAATCTATTTTTCTCAGGTGAAACACGCTCGCGAAATCCCTTTTTAACACCACAAAAAATCCCATTTTTAACACCACAAAAATCCCTTTTAACACCACAAAACCCTTTTTAACACCACAAAATCCCCCTTTTAACACCACAAAATCCCCTTTTAACACCACAAAAATCCCTTTTTAACACCACAAAAATCCCCTTTTTAACACCACAAAATCCCTTTTTAACACCACAAAATTTTTTAACACCACAAATCCCTTTTTAACACCACAAAATCCCCCTTTTTAACACCACAAAATCCCCTTTTAACACACAAAAATTTTTAATCCCCTTTTTAACCACAAAATCCCCTTTTTAACACCACAAAAAATCCCCTTTTTAACACCACAAAATCCCTTTTTCACCACAAAAATCCCCTTTTTAACACCACAAAATCCCCTTTTTAACACCACAAAAATCCCCTTTTTAACACCACAAAAATCCCCTTTTTAACACCACAAAATCCCCTTTTTAACACCACAAAAATCCCTTTTAACACCACAAAAATCCCCTTTTTAACACCACAAAATCCCCTTTTTTAACACCACAAAATCCCCTTTTTACACCACAAAAATCCCCCTTTTTAATCCCCTTTTAACACCACAAAAATCCCCTTTTTTAACACCACAAAATCCCCTTTTTAACACCACAAAAACCCCTTTTCACCCTTTTCACAAAATTCCCTTTTTTAACACCACAAAATCCCCTTTTTAACACCACAAAAAATCCCTTTCTTTATTCCACAGACATCCTTTGACTCGATTAGTGTCCTGCTACAGAGATAAGTTTGAAAATGGTGCTCATCCTTCACTCCACGAGGTAAGGGTAAATACTATAGGCCTATGTATAAGCAATAGGCACATTATATTCATATTATAGGTATCCACGTACGCGCACACACAAACACATACACACCTATTTGGACAATCATTTTTACTTAAAGTTATACTGGATATGACAAAAAAATAAATGTTTCCTTTCGTGATGCTTTATATATTCTGATATAACTGATATATTGTAAAATTCTACTATACTTTTTTATTGACACACCATTCACATGCTCAAAAGTAATATCCTGCCTCACATGAAAATTTGCATATGTTAATGATATTTCGCGTAAAACTCTTCAAAAATCGCAGCTGATGAGGAAACTTTATGTGTTTTCTTTTGAACTTTTTTCATTTTTTATTTTTTATCTTTTTTACTTTCTTTTTTTTTTTTTACTTCTTTGTTTACATTTTTTTTCTTTATTTTTCAAACGATAAAATAATATAAACTTAAAGAAACATCGAGGAGTGAAACCCAAGAATACATATATGGGTATAACCACTGCATTTGATGAAAAATCCTAATTGGCAACTACCGATCTAAGCCCCGCCTCATCAACTCTATTCCTTGCAAATCTAAATATTTAATATTTTTTTCTTGGTTTCTTTTTCGATCATTTTTAATCATGGTTATTTATGAACCACTTTCAAAGAAAATATCCTGAAAAACACTTACCATAATATATCACATAAATTGTCGAGATCTAGAAAAAGGGGTGGAGCTTGTGACGTCACCATGTTTAGCCAATGAGAGTGCTCTGTGAGATATCAATTATTTGAATAATTGACTTGCTATTGTTATGATTATCAAAACTAAAACCAAAGTTGCCCTCTTGCATTTACGATAATGAATAGTTCTTTACCATTAAAAGCTGTCAGAATACTCCAAGGAAAAGTCAATTTAATATTGGGTTCAATAGGCTACTAAATGGAAGTGGAATTACCTAGTTATACGTTCCTTGGTAAAACCATATGATATAGGCTTGGGCAGGGTTATAATAACCAATAGAGATGGTTAATTCTCATCTCCGTGAGGTAAATTTTCCAGTCATTTAAGCAAGAATTCTACTGGCTGTATTTCTAACAATTTACTTATTTTGAACCATGCTTTACCATTTTCTTTTCGTGTTTAATGTTACAAGCAATGGCTGAATACTGAAACACTGAAAATATTTAAACGACTTTATGATAAAAAAAACCTGGAAGAGCCACGTATGGTATAACTATTCTATTATTTCCATCATTTTCAATTGTTTTCCCTTTGTAATGCATTTCTTCAGTTATTTCGTGTTCAGATATTTTCTAACGTACACAAATATATTTTATCCAATGGAGAACTTTCAAACTGGGAATCAAACCATCAACTTTGCTCCTCAATTAAAATGATAACGGTAAATGCATATCTTCTACAGAGACATTGGAGGGACTTCTACATGCCTACCTTATTCTGCAATGGACGCATCCCTCCAGATCTACACCTTAAGATAGGCCTACAACGCACCCTCTCGAACCTGCAAAAAAGTAAGCAGTAGCTTCGTATATACACCCACATTATCCAGACCGCACAGTAAGAATTCGCGGGTTGCGGTCGAGCGGGAGGAGGGCACTTGGGGGTGCTGTGGTTGCATGTGAGGTACGAGTTCTAATAGAGGTAGGATGTAAGGAGAGGGTGAAGGGAGGAAGGGGGAAGGTACGTGAAATAGAAGGGGGAGGAGGGAGAGAGTCTATAATCTATCTATACGACAGTATCATGGCACAACCGCTAATGTAAGTACTGGGTATCTGTATCCCCACCTAAAAGCTGTCTCGGGATTTTATAGAGAAGACATACGTGGATACCGGTCTAGAGGAGGGAAGGCGGTTGTGCAACTGTGGACGGACAGAGGATTGTGGTTCGCTTGTGGAATCAAGGTTCAGAGTGAGGGTTAAGGTGTGACAGCTGCATGATGGAAGAGGGAGACAGGTGCGATGAGTAGTGGGAGGGGGCAAGGTGTAGAGAGAAGTACGCGATGAGAAGGTAAGGAATGGATGAGTCGAAAGGTGATAAAATAGAAAAGAGTAGAAGAGCATGGGAGGAACTGTGAGTAGGAGCAGAGCTGAGATGAGTGGATGTGAAAGAAGGAAAGGATGGGGAAATGGGAGTGAGAGAGGTAGTAGGGAGTGGGAAGGTGGATGTTGGGTTGTTGAAAATAGACATTGAAATCAAGTGATGGTAAAAGTAGTGGTGAGTGGGGTGAGTGCACGATACAGGGAGTGTGGCAAGACGCAGATCGGAGCGGGGCTAGCGGCGCTGATAAGAGGCGCGTACGTCGTGGGAAGAACAGCGAGCGAGAGACAGCAGCGAGAGCTGAAGCTGGAGGAGGACGAGCGCGAGGAGAATAGGTGATGAGAAACGATGGAGAAAGAGCATAACCGGGGTATTCGTAGAGAGTGGGTGAGTAAACGGGGAGTATAAGGAGGACAGAGAAGGAGCGATAGAGAACAGGCAGCGCATTAGATGTGATGATGATGACCTGAATATCGGGATTTGAGTCACTGAGGTAAGAGTAGAAGAAGGGGAGGAACGAGGAGGAGATTAGTGTCAGAGTATTGAGCGTGAATAGAAGGATGAGAAGGAGGGACTGAGAAGCGCACGTGAGGTAGCGATGGTAGTGTACTGTATAGATATTAATGTGAGGTGTAGAGAGGATGGAACGTATTGCAGTGAGAAGGCAGAGTGATGATGCATAAAGTGAGGTTCATAGATGAGTTGTATGTCTAAGGTTATGATTTAGTGTATGAGTGAATATTCTTCTTTTTATTATGTAAGCGATATATATCTTTTGCATTTGCTTCAAGGAAGAACGTCTCGTTTCGTTATCCACTCTATGCGATCTAGTTGTCCCTCGATGTCTGCGAATCTTTTTTTTCTCTTTTGTTTTCTTTTGTTTTTTTTTCATAGTAACGATAGTAACGTTACGTAAGAGTGACGTCTCCTGTGACGCTTGTCAATAGCGTTAGTTAATCTCAATTTCCTAGGCGCTTGACGAGATTGTAAGGAATCTCTTGATGATTTTTCTACGATTGGCGACTGTGAAGACCATATGTTGGGCTTGTGCTTGCTAGGTTGGGACTGTTTCTTTTATGACTGATGGAATGATAGAGCCTAGTACCCTTTCACCATGTTCTTCGTTATCTATGAACGTGTCTGTGCAAAGTTATTATATTATCATGCAGGTGTTACTACGTGAAGTTGCTAAGATAATGCCTCTATACACATGTCACCTATCTCTCACATGGGAAGTACCTCAGGACTATCTAGACTTATGATCATTTGACTTGCCTGGAACACTTAGAGGCAAAATGCATAGTCTCAAAGAGGTCACCACACGTCATGTCTTTACGCTTATGCACAAGGAACAGTGTATGAATACATGTATGCTACAACACCTTTGTCATTTGGAATTTATGCAAGACTCAAGAGGATTTAATGGTATGGCAATTGACTAGTGACGTTATAAGTAGGTATGCGGATGGTAATTATTATGTAGTTTGCTAGCACTGTAGTTTTAGTAGTTGACGCTAAACGGAGACCGTGATAGGAGAAAAAATGTCGTTATTATGCAGTTATCTGCAGGAGATTTCACATTCGTTAATAAGGAGCTCGAGACACTGAGCATCTAAGTCATTTTTTAACTTACTCTGAATTCCTCACTACTACCATGAGTTACGTCTTCATTGCGATCTATAATTATTATATATATATGTTAGACCATAAGTGCACATCCCTCCACAACGCACTGCAACCCAGAACTCATTCCACACACTTTACGGAATTCCTCCACAATGTCCGTGCAGTCATTGCGAGACGGGTAGAGTACCAGACACTAGGCACTCAAGCACACACACCTTAGACGAGACGACACGAACAAGAACACAAGACTCACTTTATCAATGTGTTATTGTTAAAAATAGGAATCGCATTGAATGTATACAACGCCAGTAACAATGTTCATAGTTAAGATTAAAACATCAATACATAAAAGATGGGAAATTATTAATCACTTTCATACATTTTCTCAATATTATTCAAAATAAACTCGAATAACACTTTATAACATGGCATTTAATCACAGAATACAAGAAACATCCTTCTCTCATCCACAGACAACCTTATCCAATTACACAGCACTCCCAAACACCTCAAAATACAATTTCCCTTCAAACCACCTCTTTGCAAAGACCTTTTAAAACTCACAAATTCCTCGTGGCCACGGAACACCTACACGGCCATGTGTTCTCTCCTGCAACGTGGACTACACCTACGTGACCAAACTGGAATCCAAGCACGAGAAATGGACTACATCTTCCCGACGGTAGGCCTACCCAAGGACCTGGCTGAGGTGATGGACACTCGACCAGCACTGACCACCATAAGGACGAGACTTATATCAGGTTGTTCGAGCTATATCTTTTGTTGGAGAATGAAGGAGTTTGTTTGTATAGAAACGCGAAGAGTTTGGTCTCAAAAGTTGGACGAAAAGGGTAAACTAAAATTTTATATAATGATTTTCATGAGTCTAGAAAAAATTACTGCATCATTCATCACTCAGGTTTTCAAAAAATTGCCACTCTCACATAGAGACATGACAATATAAAAGACAAAACTCGAGGTAAATGGAATATAAAATGCTGTATCGTCTACTTGCATTATTTCATTACCTACTTGCTTTAACTGTCAATATCACCGTATCTTATCTAATTACCAATATTATTACACCAACTCCATGCATACTTAAACTAAACTCATAAACACATTAGAGTATATATTGATGAATTATATATTCAAAACTATATATGACTTTTCCTCAATATAATAACAACTGCTTGTCCCAGACCTAAGTCTGAATTGTAATTACAAACGACATATCAGCATGACTCTAGCTATTATAAAGACATTTCAGCTGATCGCTGATTATAAAGTGCGATGGATTCAGGGCTGAGGCACTAGTGTTACAAGACATGCTCGATTCCCTGTGTGGGTCTGGATACTAATATATATAGATCAGCTGTATTCGAATTAAGTAAATACTATTTCAAGCTAGATCACATTTCAAGACTCCATTACAAGTCTGATCTGCATTTACGCATCAGACTGTATCGCAATTAAAAGAAATCAGCTGATGACATCAATTAATAAGACATTCAGTCACGTTTATCGAAATTAAAAAGCTCAGCTCATGATTACGCATTTAAGATACCATCAGCTGATCGCATTAAACAGACATCTTAGCTGAGACATACATTAAATATAAAGAACATTACCAGCCGTTCGAATTTAAAAAGATCAGTTTGATACGCATAGCCATCATAGCATAGAATCCGCATTGAATAGACGCCTGGTGTGGTGTGGACTAGTACTGAGTCGCATTGATCAAGAAGACACGCTAGCGTGATTGTCATTAATAGGCACATCGAGCTGTACGGCATTTGACGAATGTATCAGGGCTGATTCAGTCGATTTAACGATTTAGGCACACTGTCATACTCGCACCTTTCTCCCGCAACAGATACTAAATTGCACGCCCTCATGTCCGCTGACTCTCAGCAAACAAGTTAATATTCGCAAGTTCGGCGAAATTTTCTGGGTGCAAGAACGGATTTGAGATGTTTCGAGCCTATACGTTATATTTCCAAGGAGATACAATATTTACCTGGCCACAGGAAAGCAAACGCAATTGTGTTAGGACTTTCTTAAATTGTAAAATAAAATCAATGTTCTATTGTTATAACAGGTTGACATTAATTATATGTATTTAATGTTCTGCTAGTGTTCATAATACTTCTTGTAATCTCAAATCGTCCTATAGCTCGATGTTTATTGTAAAAGATTCGCGTCACATTTCTTGTAAATCCTATTAATGATACAACATGAATACTTACATGGAACAATTATTTGTGAATCTTTGTTTATCATGTACGCACCACACAGTTATGTATATATATAAACACATCCTATATTTCTCTCTATATATACTCATATATCAATGTGTGTATTATATATTTTTGTGCATACACACACACACACACACACACACACACACACACACACACACACACACACATATATATATATATATATATATATATATATATATATATATATATATAATATATATATATATACACAGGTGTATTAGAAAAGTTCCAGGACTGATGTCTCAAAAGAATTATTTCAAACCCAAATTTCACACAAAGAGTAAATATATATACACACATAAATATATAAATATATGTACATTTAAATGTATATATATATATATATAGATAGATAGATAGATAGATAGATAGATAGATAGATAGATAGATAGATAGATAGATAGATAGATAGATAGATAGATAGATAGATAGATAGATAGATAGATATAGATAGATAGATAGATAGATAGATATAGATATACATACACATGCACATTATATATATATATATATATATATATATATATATATATATATATATATATATATATATATATAGACATACATATATGCACGCACACACTCACTCACACACACAGACACACAGATACATATTGATGGATGTGAGCCCCGAAGTGTAAATAGATCATTGATGTGTTAAATACTAAGGATGAACTTCAGTATATTCATCGTTGAAATTTGTATTTGTGCAAATGGCAAAAATAAAAGTACACCATGGAAAGTATTTTTACTCCCTTACAGTACAAAGTTAAGCAGTGATATCTAGGCTAATACAAGAAGATGACTGTGATATATATATATATATATATATATATATATATATATATATATTATATATATATATATATATATATATATATATATATATATCTCATACATTCTCTCTGTCTCTGTCTGTCTGTCTGTCTGTCTGTCTGTCTGTCTGTCTCTCTCTCTCTCTCTATATATTATATATAT